GAGAGAGAGAGAGAGAGAGAGAGAGAGAGCGGGGGGGAGGGAGGGAGAGGGAGAGGAAGATTTCGTTCAAATTGGAAAAGTCGCGAATGAGAATACGTCGGAACTCTTTCGTAATTTTCCATAGGAATAATTTCGCAAATATCTCGATGCCCGATTTGATTATTTTTTCGAATACGTGATTTGTCGCAGAATTATCGGGAAATGTCGCGATGGAGCGGTAATCCGTTACACGCGGCTACCTGTTCTTGGCCGTTTTCGGTCGACGTTTCTGGACTTTATCCGACGGCTTGGAAACACCGCCGTTCTGCTTGACCTCCGGCTTAATTGTTTCGACGGAAGTTGTTCGTCCTTCGGTCTCGACACGGTTCGTCAGATTTTCTTCCGGATCATTCAGCAGCGGTCGATAGCGTTGTTGACTTCGATCGATGGAAGTGGCGGACGAGGAACTGTCATCATCGTTGTCACGGCGCGATCGCTTCGACGTGATGACGAATCTGCTATTCGCCGACTTTATCCTCCGAATGCGAGCTTCGGTGCCGAGCAGATTGTCGCCTACAAACGATATACCCTTTTGACTTGCCGAGTGACAATCATTACAACAATCGCAAGTTAATCGTCACGATTGTTATCGTTACTGAATCACGGAAATTACATTTATCTCATAGGAGATACTGAAAAGCTGAAGCTTTTCTCTTTCTAACGAGCACGTGTGTTGAAACATATGATCGTTGTGAAAGTAAGACTGTCTCCGTTTAAGGAGATGCCATACCTTCAAACATGTTAAATGACGTGACGTAAAACTTTCAGAAATATGTCAAAAGAGCTTCAGCAAAATTACACGCTTAAAAATAACATAATTTTAATTTGCCATGATGTGTGCAATCAAGACGTGTCCTATTTGTACAACGAGACGATCCAAATTTGATAGAGACATCAAAGCTATCTCATTTGAAGTGAGACAGCGATAAGTGACGTCAAATTCCGAATTTTTTTCTGTGCAAGTATTGTAACGTTTGATGTGTACATTTTAAATTAGACTATTAAAAATTTGGTCGTAATCTTTATATTTTATAATATTTTCGCCGCGCATGTATGCAAAAGACATCAGAAAAGAATAACGTGTCGATTTTGGTTTTTATTGACCCTTAAATCAAATCTTTTGGCGAATAAAAATCTTAAACAATTAATTCACCGCCGAGATCGTTGTCACTGGATTCCACGAAGTATTGTTTCTTAACGATGACGGGTTTCTCAACGACTGGTGGCGGAGCGATCATGGTGAAGTGCGCTAAAATTTGTGGGTCGACCGCGGCTACCATCGAGGCCTCGCTAGTAGCTAAGGCGGACTTGGCCATTTGCAATAAAGTGTCGTAATCTTCCGTCTCAGAGGCAATAGCGAGCTCCAGGAATGGATCCTCGACTGGAGCTTCCTCTTGCGCCGTTGATTCTACATCTATGACGCATTAATTGATATACTGAGAAAGAGAAAAGGACCGAGAAAATCGGCCGCCTTCAAAGAAATCTACTGAGCAAATTATGCGTTAGTGCAACAGCAAGCTGTGCCGATATATACTTATTGACCAAATCGATTGAATCAATTCTCTCATCGCAGCAACTCACTCGAATTTCTTCTCAATATACCGTCGTATGATTACTCTCGCGATTCAAAATTGTTGACTCTCGAAAATTATTTTCAAGAATGAACGTCGCGCAAATCTCTCGAGCCAACTTTTGCACAGACAGTTTGCTACTCACGACTCGCGTTCTTCACATTCGTCGCTTCCACGCACCCGGGATCGGCGGACTTATCAATTAGATCCGTGAGATCTGATAACTTAGTTTCCTCCCCGATGGATTGTTTATGCGGTTGGACACCCGTCGTCGCCTCCGGATTATTCTGGGTCGTTCTCGTCTGCTCGTCGGGAACGGCTTTCGGTTCTGTCGTTTTCGCCTGTTTCGCATCGATATTGGTCGGTATGCCCTCCGTCGCGGTGGATAAGTCAAAGTCATGTGCAAAGGCCATTACGTCCAAAGCTGCGGTTAGCGCATCACCAAAACCTGCAGTAACTGCCGACACTTGCGGCTGGTCGACATTGGGAACACTGTAATACATGTAAAGTTATTACACGGCCGCAATGAGCGGATTGATGCGTCGCGTAAATTCTACCGTCGTCGAGGAGAATCAGTTCCAAGATTATATTACGAGTAATATTTGTTTCTTATAAATAAACAATTAATATAACTAGAGAGAGAGAAAGAGAGAGAGAGAGAGAGAGAGAGAGAGAGAGAGAGAGAGAGAGAGAGAGAGAGAG